CCCCGCGGTCGTGTAGCGACACTTAGTAACATGAAATTTGATAAACCTTTTTAAAGGAATATCTCTCGGAAACTTGAAACTTCAAACAATCCTTTTAAAGGATCCTTAAAAACATTAACTTTAGTGAATTCTTTCGAGGGGTCATTGAGATCTTGGAGCTTTGAGTATACTTGAATAGATAGATGGTTGATGAGTATTACCTTAGATATTTTGTTTTTTTTACCTTATTTTATTTATAGGAATGACTTTTACTCTCAAAGTAAAGTCCAAGATTGTTATTAAGCATTCATATCTATTTATTTAATGGATTACTAATATTATATGTTTTAGCCAAATGGAAAAACACAATCAATTTCCAAGAATTGATGTGAAATACTATCATAATAGCAAGACAAAACAACTCAAACTTATAGTACATGAGTCCATAACAAGTTATTATGGTGTTAATGAGATAACTCTTCTTTCAAAATTGGATATGAAGACCATTAGTGAGTACCCAATAAAATAAAAAATGATGTCAAGTTATGTTATTGTGTCAGATCATTAACCATCTTTATGTTTTCCTTCTTATCAAGATAATGAGCAGGATGCTTCATAAGCCTGCATGGAAAACTTGATCAACAAAAAAAAAAGTTATATGGGGAAATCAACTTGATTCACAATAAGGAATTCAATATCTTGAAGGATTTTAGGATTGGTCTATAGAAGCCTATCGATTACTATTAAAGAAAAATAACAAACTAGCATATGCAATCCATTTAATCTCTTTTGGTTATTGTCGTTTGAATAACATGTATTGTGCACTAATAGAGACTTGATGTCCTGTTAAGAACACCTTCTTGGCTTTAAAAAATGAAATTAGGATTTTAATTTGGGAAATGTGCAATATCACTAGCTGATCTAGTTTGGGAGAGTACTACAAAGAGATTGTCTCCAGTTTTAAAAAGTTCTTATATAGTAAAGGTTGAATTATGAAGAGTTAAAGTCATATTTATGAGTGTGTGTGTTCCTCACTGTTGTATTATATTGTATATCTATATTCAATGTTTTTTGCTTACTGAATTGTTGAACTTACCCTTTCGTTATTTATCCTTTTAAGGTGTATAACTTGTTAACAAGTTACTTTTGTTAGATTTCAAAACCTGTTATTTTATTGTAATTAATGTTATTCCATTATGTCTAGTTAGAGCTTCACAATTACAAAATTTACATTTAACTTTTGTATTTAAGACAATTATTTTATTTTATCATGTTATATAGAACTCTGTTTTGTTTATTATAGAGAGAGAGAGAGAGAGAGTTTACATTTTTGGTGTGATATTTTGAAAATGAAAGATAATAGAAAAAGGTAACAAAGCTATTGGAGGCTTAGAAGTAGGTATAAATGAATAAGGTGTCGTGTAGTAATTGAATAAAACATGATAAGTATAAATAGAAAAAGAAAAGAAAAGGAGGGTTATTTAGTGAATTATTATCAAGTCTTATTATTTGTTTTCTTATGAATTAGATTTTGAAAAAACTGTTTAATTTTTTAATTTTTGAAAAAAATGACTAGTTAGTTCAAAAAAATATAGAGTAATGGAATAAACCCTTAGTTAACTGTATTAAATAGGTTGTATGTTCTTTTCGAGTCATTTTTGAATATGTCTCGTTTGTATTTAGATTATTTTGATAATTTACATGCGAGACATTAATAGGATTTCCTTGTAATCTATTTTATTAGTTCGGTTCGTTTTTGAGTCAGGTGACTAGATAATTTTTCATATATATAAGAAATATTATAAATATTTGAGTTGTTAATATGAATTGGATCATATTTCTTGATAATATATATGTTGATTATTATCATTGTTACGACAAAGCATGAATGATTGTTGAATCTGAATTTTTGATATGAACCAATATATATTTTGAATTAACTTATGAATTGATAACTCTTCATTTGATTAATGTCATGAGCTGAGCATTGAGATATGAATATACCTGTTTGATTATGATTATGAATTTATGGTATGTGAGTCAGAATACTCATGTTAACATGGTAATATTAGTCTTTGTGCACATTGTATTTAAACTTTAATCGATCGAGAGAATCACCAACCTACGTGGATTAATCATCTCACAATACAAAGTTTTATGCTCATTGCATTTTAATTTTCTGACGAGTTTTACCTTATGATACTCTTGTTATGACCTATTTGAAAAACCTTTCTATAAGAACCTGGAGTTATAATTGTATATATATTCCTTATTGTTATACTACCTTATGTATGTATATTGAATGTTATCTACTCATTGAGTTGTTGAACTTACCCTTTCATTATTTATTTTTTCATGTTTATAGCTTGTTAGCGAGTTATTTTTTGTTAGACCTTCAGAACTTGTTCTTTTGATTTTTATGTTTAATTAGTGCTTTATAACTATAAATTTGTATTAAGTCTTGTATTAAAATAATCAAATTCTATTATAAAATTAATTTTGTTGTTACTGTTTTGTTGAACTCTAATTAAATTATTTAAATGATACATTCGTATGTAAGTTTGAGTTCATATAGATAGATAACCTTGGAGAGGGATCTTGTCTATATACCGATTATGAATCCGGAAATCAAGTCGTGATATTTGGATTCGCATGGGTTTAGAAACCTAGAGGGTGACCTTGTTTGCATGCCGGTTATATATCCAGCAATTGGGTTGTGTTAAGGTGAGATTCACTCAAGGCAAAGATATAAAAAAATGGCTAACTATATAAAGTTGATTTCAATGCTCATTGTTTCCACCAACAAATTTCCTTCCTGAATTGTTCTAACATTAAGCTGGATAAATTGACTATGAACTAGAGCTTACCAAATATAAGTTGCCAACTTGGACACAGGCTATCTACAAGGCAGAAGCTTGCATTCATTAATGAAAGACAGCTACCGAGGAATATGCATGATTCTGGAATGTAAATCACACTTGTAAATTTAATGTATCAGCATTAGGATCTCTGTATGCAACACATCACTATCACATTTGTGAACACATTTTGGAGAGTCAATATGTGATGTGATTAGGCATGTAAATCACACTTGTAAATTTAATGATAGAAATTATCCATGATCCACAAGAAGCTGCACATATCATTTAAAATCTGATCCTCCCATTTCAATGAACAAGAAGTAATGATCTAACTCTCATAAAATATCATTCCAGAAACTGCAATTAGAGCATAGGTCGAGAGATGAAACCGCAATGTTCGACAAATGCGTCAAGATTTCACCTTACCACAAATCTGTCAGAAGTTCGATATAAAACTCCTGCTCTACACTATATCATGACTAACACTACCTCCGAAAAATAAAAGGAATGAGTTCTAGGCAATTAAGAAAACTAGAAGGTAAAATTACCGTAAGAGTTTCAATGTCTGTCACCATGTGCGTTTTCTTTCCGAGTCTCAAGTACAGTGCTCTCCTAGTTTTCCATGGTTGAGTTGCCAGCCTTTCCAACATCCTCATCTCTCTTGGATAACTTAAAACCTGTCACCTCAGCTGAAGTCTCCACAATATCCATGTCGCCAGAATCAGCACCCAATCCCTATACTGGAGAAGTTTCCATGTCCGAATCTTTTTCTGCAGTTCTATCATCATCCTCAGAATCACTTTCACTGGAACTGCCATCATTCTGAAGAGACCCCCTTCCAATTTCCTCAGTTCTGACACTTGCTTCCACCATCTCGGAATCTTTACCTGGTATCCACTGCTGCAGTGGAACTGCGTCAATAATAACTTTCCCCGTTCTCAATCTCTCTCGATAACCCTCCATTTCTATTTTGTATCTTTCTTTATCTTTAAGAGCTTTATCCTGATAAACCTGGTCAGCAGAGAAATCAATGAACTCAAAAGGTTAATCAGGAGAAATGGCACAAAGGAAATGGAATCAAACATAAGATGTAAAAATTTCCTACCGCTTTTTGGGAATCATTTATTTTGTTCCATAGCTCCCCAATCATCCTACTGATCTCTCTATCCTTCCCTGGGTAAAGTGGCCGCTTTCTGAGAATCATTTATTTTGTTCCATAGCTCACCAATCATCCTACTGATCTCTCTATCCTTCCCTGGGTAAAGTGGTTTCAGTCTTGCATGCTGCTCAGAAAAGAAGAAATTGTAGCCGCTTCTGTTAGGTTTTGGATGAGCGGGGTCCCTTCTTTTTATCTCACTTTTCTTTCTACGGCGCCGGCGTCGTGTACCTGGTACAGGGTGTGTATTACCACTATTCCTGGCGGATGGTCCAGGGTTTGTATTAAAACTATTGTTGGCAGACACACCATGAGGCTGTGGCACTTGCCATGATTGGTTATGAGGTGCCTGATAAAGAACACCTTTGAGCTCCTCTGAACCTACCGTGACAGTAACAAGATACCCACCCTCAAATTTCCCATCAATTACCCCCACCACTGGAGGACTTGCAGATGATCCTGGCATTGCTCCAACTGTAAGAAAGACAGCAACACCTCATTAGAAGCTACAATTTTTTCAAGGAATATCAGTTAGAAATAGGCACACGTAAAGGCAACTAACAAGCAGGCAAAATCAGATTGAAAATGCATCTGAACTTAAATATCGATACATAGCATGGACTTCTCATTAAATGAGCATAGAAGACATGGAAAAAGAAACAAACATCAGAGATTGTAAGAAACAAAACTCGGAGGGTTTGCTAATGCCTTGCTGCAACAATTTTTTTTTTTTCTGTTTCTTCCACGGCTGCAACAAATTTTTTTTTTTTTTTTTTCTGTTTCTTCCAAGGAAAATAGCAGATACACAAACCAAATTTTCAGAATCATTTCCTACCAGAAAAAATGTACTTCCCATGATAATTGTGAAGCATTCTGCATATTCCAAAAACAGCCATTTTAAAGCCAATTTGACATTCAATTATTTCTACATGGTATGCAATTATTGACAAGAGTTTCAGCATATCAGCAATTAAATTACTAGAGATTTGTTGAATCCATGTTTGTTAGTGGGGAAATTTTCCAATCCTAGGTAAACCTTCGAGAAAAATGACAAAGCAGCAGGTTGAAGAAAGAAGAGAGACCTCCACGCAACTCGGCAGTGTTTGTGTTTTTTTGCTTGACTGCAGCAGCTTGGTATTCTGGTGACGGCTGCACAGTCACGTGAGCTGAACATTGTGATATCAATGGACTCTGCAAAGGAACTACAAAAGTAGTGTGGTGTTAAACATGAACATCCCAAACCAAGTATTGAAGAAGTGTTTCTTCAGTGCACTCACCAGGAGAGACAGGGCTCCAACTCCGAGCCTTAAAGTAGTAAAGCTGTTCATAATGTTGAAGCAAGGAACCATAGTACTTGCGCAGCACGAAAGATGCATTTGTGGCCGTAGATGGAAAGTTGAAAACAGAAGTCACTTCTTTCCATCTTTTCTGTCTAATAATCTGCAAATTCATTAGGCAAATCAATGTCACTGCGCGGCCACATGGCTAATCTCTAGAAACAATTTATTCTTTGTTTGCCAGAAATCATTATTCAATCTCAAGTAAATTTAATCTAGACTTCCTTCTTCCTAGAGGCAATTAGATTCCATTTCATAAAGAAACATTTTGGACATTAAATTTGAAATGTGCCACAAATTGTATTGCGCAATCAGGGTTTCGGTTTGGTGGAGGGGGATGAGTAAGCCCTCCAACTGTGTATCATAAAATTGCGCGTTACCAACAGCTGTATCTTGTAGAAAGTCAGAAGTCAGTATCAAAGTCACCTAGGAACCAAAGGTAAATCTAGTTAAAATAGGCAAGTATATAATAACTTCATAATTAGTCAATATTACGAGGTAATGACTTGTGCCAAGTCACGTGATAGAAGACATTGCTTGAAAACATTGTGGAAGCAAAACATGCAGGAAACATATGATTTTGGCATTGCCACTGCAATAACCCTGTTCGAGAAACAGGATGCTGTAGAATCTGTAGTATCCAGAGGAAGATGAAGCGATGGTCTCTTTGAGACACATTCATAAGCTCTTAGTTTTTCGACAACTAAAGGGATATAGATGCCAAATCCACATCAGTGCTTTATATACAAGAGATTCTACATGATGCCTGCAAAAGGCAATCTAGTTTCACGAGTCTTTAAGAAAAACTTCTGTGCACCAATTCCAGAAGGATGCTCACGTGCATGACAAAACTGGAACCCTAAGTCTTCCACCTACACAATTTATAATCCAAACTATTCAAGAAAAAATGAATCAGACAACTTAAAGCAGTTTCATATTACCTTCTCAATACCACCACGAGACGTCACTTCCACAAAAAGCCGATGCAAGTTCAGTTCCTTGCCCGCTATTATAGGGATCCTACAATAAAAAAAAACTACCGCTATTATAGGGATCCTACAATAAAAATAAAAAAAACACAATTCGGAATGCAATGATGGGACAGATAGCTCGAGGTCTAAGAAGCTAAATTTTGCAATCCCCTCCATTAACATTTTGAAACTTGATAAATTCTCGCGCTGAAAATGCAATCATCTTTATGAACTTTCCTGATTGGATTGATTGAGAAAGGAGTACATGCTTAAATTATTTGCAGTATGTTCAAAAGCAACGGGCCAGATTTAGGAAACCTTGGTGTTTATCTTTGCATTGCAACTATAAAAATGTCCAAACACTACCAAAAATGAAGAAATTTTGTTCTACTTTTCTGCTTTCTGTAATTATACTGTACAATTAACGCCTCTCTCTAAACCTTCCAACTAACTTGTAACAAATACAAGATTAAGATTTGTCCACAACTATCCATAATGGAAATTCCAATAATTGAACTTCGTAGATGAACTAAACAGGTTTGTGACTCAGTTACTAACTAACAGAAGTGACCTGCAATGGAGCTGACAATAGTGAAACAGGAACATGAGACAGGAATACCAAAGGATAGAGAGAGAAAAAGGACGACAACGAAGTGCTTGCACAGAACTTGGATCCTAGAAGCTTAAACATGGCATCTAAATTACAAATGGTAGACAATAAAAAAACAATGCCTAAGCTGAAACAGGAACAAATGTGAAGTTTATTATGAATCTTACATGAACTTGGTTCCCATGGCTGCATGAAACTTCTCCAAAGTTTCCATAAAAAGATTAGTGCTAACTATAACATCCTCATATGTGGCCCCAGGTGCTGGATATTGAACATAGCTCATAACTGGTCCTGTCATGGGCAGTGGACTCTGCTTAGCAC